CAGCTGACAGACTATGGGCCAAAAATGTGAGGAAAATAAATCTCATCTCCTTTGAGTTGTGTCAGGTATTCTGTCCCAGTGATGACAAAGTCACTGAGAGGCCATGTATGTTTGCATACTGCAGCAGTTGCAGGAGATATGCACACTGAACACTCCTATGAAGTGATGCTGCCCATCAGACCGACTGCTATGATGTAACAATAGAGAATACATCTATTGCTTTCCTATATTTTAGAATATTGAAAATTATATTTCAACACATTTCACTTCCTTTGTTGAAAAAGAATGGGTTAAAACATCTCAAATTTGATGAAAAATATTGATTTACACATCTAAGTATCTCAATGAACTTACAATAGAAGAAAATTTGAAAAAAAAAAAAAGAAAGAAAATTTGAGATATTTACACCCAAACATGTCACAATCAAACTGCTGAAAGTGAAACTCAAAGGAGAAAATCTTGAAAACATCAGAAGAAAGCATGTCTTTTGTTGGGAGCCGTGGCACTGTCAAGTCATCAGACGCGGTGATTGCGAGGCCTGTAGGAAAGTACAAAAGCCTGAGCTAGATTACCCCTCTCATCGAGCCCGCCTGTGTGGCGTCTGTTTCCTGCTTCCTGATCCCTATCACCCCACTAAGTTCCCGCCTCGCAGGGTAGTCTGCCTAGCTACTAATGTTGCTAGCCAATCAGCTTACGCGACCGGCCTTGATTTGATTGGAGGCCACAATCCTATATATAGCCAGTACCTCCACCCCTGGGGAGAGAAGCACGGAAGGAGCCGCGGAGAGCGGACCGGTAGAGGCTTCGGAGCGAAGCACGGAAGGAGCCGCGGGGAGCGGACCAACAGAGGCTTCGGCCGGGACGAGTCCCGGGGTAGACTGTGAAGGAGGAGAGAAATAAAATAGAATACTTCGCCACTGCCAGATTTTGTCGTGTGTTCTTCCTGCCGGCTGGGAGCGACACCGACATCTGGTGGCCCGTACGGGGAACTGATCATCCCTGAGACGAGGCGGTGGATAAAGTCCTTCGACACAGAGCTACAGGACAGGTGAGTAGGGGATAAGCCTGGGCCCTGGGTGGCGCGCACCTACAGGGTTTGTAGACTCCTCTCAACCTCACGCGTAAGTGGCGGGTTTCTTGGGCCTCACGCGGTGAGTATGAAACATAACACTAGAACTTAAGGTAATAAAAGAGTGTAAAACATAAACATAGAAGTAAAAATAACAGAAGATATATTAAAAATGGGAAACATGCCAAGTAAAGATACACAGCCTTGGTGTTGGTCCTTCGGAGACTCCTAAAGTCCAAGGACCTCAAGGTGGGGCGTAAGACTTTAGAAAATTTCCTTGCAGAAATTGACAGCTTTGCTCCCTGGTTTCTGCCTACAGGGCATGTAAACCTACCCTCCTGGGAAAAGTTGGGCAGAGACCTTTCCCTAGCAGAACGGGAGGGTAGAGCTTCGGTCTCTGCTCGTCCGTTGTGGGAAATGATACACGCGTGCCTAAAGAGTGAGGGTAGTTATGGGGGGAGCTCTCAAGAACTTGTAGAAGTACGCAAGGTGTTTGAACAGGCACAGTCAGGAAGCTCCCGAGAAGGGTCCGTCAAGGAGGGCAGAGATACAAAAGAGGAAGCCGAGGCGCGGTTTGTGTCTTTCCGCAGGAATCGGGACGAGAACCACTGTGGGTCCCAGAGAGGTTGACGCGTGCGACAAGTCCCTCAACTGAGGATCAGGCCTGTTCCACCAGAGGCCAACCGCAGACCCAACAACAAGATGAGCCCTAAAAGAACTGCAGGACAATCCCTTTTTGGGGGCCTGGAACGGCTTGCTCCCCTATGTGCTACCCTTGTATACGCATGGCTCGCTCGCATGGCCTATGACCGCGTTTAAAAGTGACAGGCTTCCCACATTCTCCTCCCTAGACAACAACATGTAGCAGGGTGGGTGAGTCAATGACGGGTAAGAGCGTGCCTCCCCAGCACGACTCAACCTAAGCCAGGCCCTACCCCGTTCCGCTCGAAAGCTGCTGGATTGTTAGATAAATTTCTCTCCGAGGGGATTCGTGGAGAGAAATGAGTGCATGCCTATGTGCAACCAGGTTCCGTCCGGTTCATTCCTGGCCCTAGAAAAAAGGACGAGGGCCTCAAGGCCTTGGTGGACCCTGGGACGGCCGACCAGGGTCTACGCTAAGGGCCTATGGTGGGCCTCAGTTTGGGGCATAGGCCTCTGCACTCTATCCAGGACGGGCTGCGATGCGCGTATTCATTTAAAATAAAATAGGGGGAGATGTTGGGAGCCATGGCACTGTCAAGTCATCAGACGCGGTGATTGCGAGGCCTGTAGGAAAGTACAAAAGCCTGAGCTAGATTACCCCTCTCATCGAGCCCGCCTGTGTGGCGTCTGTTTCCTGCTTCCTGATCCCTATCACCCCACTAAGTTCCCGCCTCGCAGGGTAGTCTGCCTAGCTACTAATGTTGCTAGCCAATCAGCTTACGCGACCGGCCTTGATTTGATTGGAGGCCACAATCCTATATATAGCCAGTACCTCCACCCCTGGGGAGAGAAGCACGGAAGGAGCCGCGGAGAGCGGACCGGTAGAGGCTTCGGAGCGAAGCACGGAAGGAGCCGCGGGGAGCGGACCAACAGAGGCTTCGGCCGGGACGAGTCCCGGGGTAGACTGTGAAGGAGGAGAGAAATAAAATAGAATACTTCGCCACCGCCAGATTTTGTCGTGTGTTCTTCCTGCCGGCCGGGAGCGACACTGACAGTCTTTGAGAACAGATCCACTGATTTCCATGCAAAACAGTGGAGCCAAGCAGGAAGTAACCAGATGCGATGTGCATCTATAATACCACCTATTGCAAAGACTGAAGCAGTTCAAAGACAAATCTGTGAGATGTCTCAAAACAACATTTTTATAAGGGCTGGGTATATGGACCAGTGGTATAGCTCTTACCTAATGTATTTTGCATGCTCAGCACCCTGGGTTTCATCCCAAGCACTCAGAAAGTAATACAATAAAACAATTTTCTCATGACTGATTTTAAAGATGTCTGAATAAACAGTCATTATTAAAATATTGTTAGGTTTAAAATACAGCATAAAAAATGTAAATGACAGTGATGCATGGGGGTTAAATAAAATGCAGCTATATGAGAGCATAGCTCCTGCAGACTACTAGCAATAAGTCAACATTTGTATATGTCAAGTAAATTGTTTAAATATATATAGACACATATATAACACCAGAGCAACTACTAAGAAAATTATTTTAGAACACAATTGAAATAGTATCCTAGAAAATATCTGCTTTTTATTTGAAGGAAGAAAGCAAAACAGAAAAAAAGGTAGAAATAATGCAGAATTTCAAAAATAACAGTAAGAAATGACTAGTTAATAAAACAGTAAAAAATCAGTTGTTGGTAAATTACATATTGTTATCTTAGAAGTAGTTGATCAAGTTACAAAATCAAAGTATAAATAATGGACAGACAAACAATGACTACTATTGTGTTTGATGAACTAACAAAAACTTAGTAGTACAGTTATTTATCTTGCACAGTTAAACATACATACAGTTATATTCTTTAGGGCACTTTCTTTGCCTTTCAGTATGAAAATATGTATTTAGTGAATAGGCAGTAAAGGGGAAACAAAGAATCATACAAGATTTATACAAAACAAATAGCAAAATGACAGAAATAAATATTTATATTATAATCTATATTAAACGTAAATGAATTAAGTAAGGGATTATCAGACTCATTTCAAAAAACCAACATTGTTACCCCCTGAATGGTGTGGGGTTTTATATATATATATATATATATATATATATATATATATATATATATATATATATATATATATATATATATATATGTATTTTTGGCCTTTTTCCTTTTTACTGGTACCAGAGATAGAAGAATGGTGTGTTTTGAAATTTTGCTGCTGCTGCTTCTACTTCTTTCTTCCTTCCTTCCTTGTTCCTTCCTTCCTTCTGTCCTTCATTCCTTTCTTTCTTTTTATCCTTTAATAAAATTAAATAGAAAAAATTAAATTTAATTAAATTTTTAAAATGTCTACAGCAGACACACTTAAGATTCAATACACAGTGGTGCATGGCAATACACACCTATAATCCCAGCACCCAGGAGGCTGATGCAAGAAGATCCCCACAAATTCAAGGTCAGCCTGAAGGGCATAGTGAGTTTGAGGACAATCTGAATTACATAGCAAGACTGTTCCTAAAAAAAACAAGAAATAATAACGAACCCACCGTACACAAATGTTCATTATATATATACGTATATGTTATTTATACCAAAAAGAATACCATTAAAACATAACACATGTATAATAGTAAAAAAGTGGAAGCAACACAAATCCTCTAATAGATAAATACAATGTGGTATAGCTGTACAATAGAACTTTATGCTGAAATAAAACCTATATTCAGTACTGATACATGCTACAACATAGATGAACCTGAAAACATTAAGCTAACTGAAAAAGATCAGTCACAAAAATACCACTTCTTCTGTTCCATTCTTGTGAACTGTCCTTAATGGGAAGCCTAGTGTATTGTATAGTATGTGAATTATATTTCAGCACAGCTGTTAAAATTCAAGATGAAAGGGGAGCAAATCTGGCTGCGCATACAGCCTAGTAGTGCAGAACCTGCCTGGCAAGCACAAGGCTCTGAGTTCAGTTTCTGCTGCCAAAAAAGACTTTCATAATAAGGCACTTTTCCTTAGGTCCATACAATAACATTAAAATAGTATTGAGTTCTTGTGCAATAAAAATTTCCAGAATCATGAAAACAGACTTTTAGATATATTTATAATCTTTTTAGTAAATTACTTTAGTACTAATTTTTCTATAAAATTTTGTACCCTGTTCTTCTAAATATTATTTTTTGAAATGAATCAGACTCATGTGTGAAAAAAATTGTTTTTAATGCAGCAGTGTGGGCAGGGCTGGGCAGGGCAGCAAGGCACACAGGTGGCGTTTGGGCAGCGGTTCTCCTTTGGATATTCTGCAATTGGGCATTGGCTAGGCGCAACTGCTTTGGTTCGGCATGGGTTGAGTGGCAGTTGGGCAGCAGTTGGACATGGGTTGAGTGGTGATTGGTCGGTGGTTGAGTGGCAGTGGGGCGTGGGTTGAGTGGCAGTTGGGTGGCGGTTGGGCAACCATTGGGCAGCCCTTGGCAGGCAGTTGGGCTGCAGCTGGGCAGTGGAAGAGCGAGCAGTTGAGGTTCGGTTGGATGGGGGTTGGGCTGTGGTTGGGCAGTTGATGAGCAGGCAGTTGGGCAGCCGTTGGGAGGCGGTTGGCCAGCTGTGCAGTGGATGAGCAGGCAGTTGGGCTGCAGTAGGATGGTGGTTGGGCGGTGGGTGGGCGGTGAATGAGCAGGCAGTTGGGCAGTGGATGGGTGGCGGTTGGGCAGTGGTTGAGCTGCGGTAGGACGGTAGTTTAGCAGACAGCTGGGAGGCGCTAGGATGTTGGTTGGGCAGGTATTGCACATAGTTAGCTATTGGTTGAGTGACAATTGAGCATCGTTGGGCAATGGTTTTGCAGAGGTTGGATATTGGTTCGTTATTGATTGGACATTGGTTGGGCATTGGCTGGGTATGGGTTCATTACTGGTTGGGTGTTGTTCAGGCTGCTGTTGGGCAGCATTTGGGCAAGTGGTCTGGATTTATGCAGTTCAGTCTGCCCAGGGATGCATCCTACTGCACAGAGAACCTGGGCTCCAAACTAGCGATATAGCTCAGTGATGCAGCCCCTCCTGGTAAGCACACGGGTATAATTTTGATTCCTGGTAGCCAAATAAGTAAATCACAGCTTCCTTGAGGTATAGTTGACTTTAAAGAAACTGTGCATGTCTAATGGTTCAAAAATAGAGCAGATACCTGAGGTGGTAGTATACACCTGTAACCCCAGCACTCAGGAGGCTGAGGGCAGAAGGATTACCACAACTTCAAGGCCAGACTAGACTACACATGGGTTCAAGGCCAGCCTGAACTACATATCCATACCCTGTCCCCCCCAAAAAAAACTAAATCAAAAAATAAAAAGGATTGAGTAGACCAGGGTGGGACACGGCTGTAATCCCAGTGCTTGGAAGGCTAAGGAAGGAGGATTTTAATGAGTTTGAGGACCCTTTGAGCTACACAGTGAGTTCAAAACATGTCTGAACTAAAATGCATGACAAGACCCTATCTGAAAACACAAAAACAGAGAGAGAAAAGGTAAGCAAGCAAGCAAGAAAGAAAGAAAGAACGAAAAAAGAAACAAAGAAAGAAAAGAAACGAAAAGGAAAAGAAATTGACAGCATGGTTCTAACATTTATGTGGAGCAGAAATTTACCTGTAATAGCCAGAATAATTTTTGAAAAATAAAAAGAAAATTTATGAACATACACTACCTGATTTCAAACTCTAGTATAAGCTACAAATACAAGAATATCAAAACAGCATAGTTGTTTGCTGTTGCTAAAAAATATTCAGCATAGTTATGTGGTAATAATGAACAAACAGAGGAAATTAAAAGTACACAAATAGACCCATACTTTTGTGATTAATTTATCTATATTCTACAAAGATATGAAACCAATTCAATGAAATTGATGGAGCAGATATAATTTTTAAAAAAGAATGGGAAATGATTTCCCAAATTTGGTGAAAGACACAGTTCAAGAAGTAACAAAACTGGCCAGGCATTGTGGTGCATGCCTGCAAACCCAGCACTTGGGAGGCTGAGGCAGGAGGATCACCATGAGTTTAAAGGAAGCCTGGGCTACATAAGTATGTTAAAGTCAAGCCTGCTATACATAGTGTGTTCCTGTCTCAAAAACAAATTAATGAAACTGCACCAGAACACAAAATGCTTAGGTGCGCTGCAGTCAAATTACAGAATACCAACAATATAGAGAAAATGTATAAAATATCAAGAGAAAAATGACATCTTCCATATAGGAGGAGTTCTCAAAAGAAACTATACAAATCATTGAATTTTACAAAATGAAAAAGTTCTGAAGACAATGGTGATATTACTTAATGCCACAGAACTGTACACCCCAAAATAGATAAAACGGTAAATTTTGCATATTTTGTCACAATAAAATAAAAGCTATAGATGTCAAAAGATGATGGAGTATGATTTCAAGTTGTTGGAGACAATAAGATCAGTTCAGAATTCCTCCTCTTGAGAAAATATTGCAAAACAAAGGCAATCATAACTTTCCAACACTGCTGGTGAGAATGAAAAATGGTAAAGCTGCTTTGGAAAACAGTCTGGCAGGTCCTCAAATGAGTAACCTTATGGCCCAGCAATACTCAAAATATTTGAAAAGACTAAAAATGTTGCTCGAACATAAATGTTCTTATCACTATTATTCATAATGTCCAAAAGGTGGAAACACTCCAAAACTTCCATCAATGCATAGAAAAATTAATTGTGGAGCTGGGCATGGTAGCCGATACCTGTAATCCAAGCAGTCAGGAAGCTGAGGCAGGAGGATTCTTGTGAGTTTCACACCAGCCTAGGCTACAAAGTGAGTTTCAGTCCAGTCCAAACTGCATAGCGAGACCCTGTGCCAAAAAGACAAAAAAATTAATTGTGGTATATCCAAACCACACAGCATTATTTGGTGTTAAAAAGGAGTGAACTACCGATACCTCCTGCCACATGGACAAGCCTTGAATAAAACACGCTATGTGAAATAAACCAGTCACAAAAGACCACATATATAATTTCACTCATATGTATCCAGAATAGGAAAATCTATAGAGACAAAGTAAATTCCATTTTGCTTCAGATTGTCGTGAGTTTGGGGACAGAGAATGAGGAAATAGAAGAGATATCCAATGTGTCTAGGATTTCATCTGGAGGAGAGGATGTAAATGTCCTAACACTGACTATAATGTTAGCTATGCGGTTTGTGACTACCCAAAACCCTTTCAAATTGTGCATTTTAAATGAGTGAATTACAAGGCATGTGAATCACATTTCAAGCTGTTTTTTAAAAAGCTGAGGATATAGCTTAGAGGCACAAGTACCTGCCTGGCAAGTGTGAGGTCATGAATTTGATCTCCACTAAGAAGAAGAAGAGGAAGAAGAGATGGAAGAAGAAGAAGAGGCTGAACCACACCTTTCCATGATACAGCCAGTGCTGCGTGGGCTGGGAGACCAGAGAAGCATCTCCCCCACCCAGACCAAGCAACTGGTGATTTAGAGGAACTCAGGGTGAGATGATAGCAACTGAGGAGAAAAGAATAGCTTTTTTTCAATGTATTGTATAGAGATGAACATTTTTGTCCAGTTTTATTGAGCTATAATAGACAAGTAAAATGCAACATACTTACCTTACACAACACGATGTTTTGAAACATTGTATGTACCAGCGAGAGCATCTCCGAGTCCTCGCCTTCTTAGCATTTGTCAACATTGTTGCTTCAAGAAATTGCTTTGAAGGTTTTTTGAGCTGTGAAATGATCTTTGTAACTCACACAAATTTGCCTAAACAGGTGCATCCTATGCTCCCTGAGAAAAATGGAAGTTAATCATGGTTAACATATAAAATCCAAGTTAATCAATATTTCCATCTCCTCTCAGAGTTACCACTTTTTAAGAAAATTTTATTTAAAGAGCAAAAAATGAAATGGAAAAAGGGTACAAATAATACATAATATGAAAAAATACGCAGTAAGAAATCACTAGTTGATAGATTACATACTGTCCTCTTAGAAATAGTTGTTCAAGTTACAAAAGTAAAGCATACAAAGTGAACAGCGAGACTTCAAACCATTCTTTTCAATGATTCATCAAAAACTTAGTAATATGGTTATCAGTCCTATACACTTAAATATACACGCAGTTATATTTTTAGAGCACTTTCTTTTCCTCTCTTTTTTACAATACCAATTACACATTTTGGGTTATGCTACTTCTATATTTCTTATTACTTTTTACACTGGAGACACAATATGAGATTTATAAATATGTTTCTTATTCATTTCATGAATGAAGATAGTCTCAAATTGTCTCCATTTATCTATGAAAGCCTCAAGATCATCCTTTTTATGGCTGAGCAATATTTCATTGTATAAAAATACCACATGTTTTTCATCCACTCTGCACTTGATGGGCATTTTGGTTGTTTCCAAGATTTATCTATTACAAATTGTGCTGCTATGAACATGGGTGCACATATATCACTGTGAAATGACCTTTTCAGTTTTTCTGGGAAAATACCCAGGAGGGGATTAGCTGGATTGAATGAAACTTCCAATCCTAGTCTGAGAATTCTCCATACTGATTTCCATAGTGGTTGCACCAGTCTACACTCCCACCAACAGTAGAGCAGTGTTCCTTTTTCCCGCAGCCTCTCCAACATTTGTTATCCTTTGATGTCTTGATGAATGCTATTTTTTCCAGAGTGAGTTGAAATCTCATTGTTGTTTTAAATTGCTTTTCTCAAATGAGCAGTGATGGTGAACATTTCTTCATGTATTTATTTGCAATTTGTGTATCTTCATCTGAGAACTGTGTTTTCATCTCACATGCCCGTTTTTGGAGAGGGTCTTTGAATTTGGAGGGCTTGATGTTTTTCAAGCCTTTATATGTTTAGCATATAAGTGCTTTGTCTGAGGGGTTCTGGCGAAAATTCTTTCCCATTCTGTGGGTTTTCTTCTCACTCTTTTGGTGATTTCTTGTGAAGTGCAGAAACTTTTCAATAATGTGAGACCCCAGTTGTTGATTCTTTGAAGTGATTCCCGTGCAGTTTTTCATGGATTCTCTGCCTACCCCTACATCTCCAAGACATCTACCTACCTTGTCTTCCAGTAGATTTAATGTTTCTGTTTTAATATTTAGGTCTTTGATACATTTAGACTTTAGTTTTGTGTATGGTGATAGGCATGAATCTAGTTTCAGACTTCAGCATGTGGAGAGCCAATTTTTCCAACACCATTTATTAAAGAGGCTATCCTTCTTCCAATGAACATGTTTAGCCCCTTTGTCAAATGTCAGGTGGCTGAGTGTCTTTGTAGTTGTGCTTGTATCTTCTAATCTGTTCCACTGATCCTCAGGTATATTTCTTTGCCAGTACCATGCTGATTTTATCACTGTGGCTTTGTTATATAGTTTCAAGTCAGGAATTGAGATGCCTGCTGCCTTGCCTTTGTTGCCCATAATTGCCTTTGCTATTCTAGGTTTCTTCTGTTTCCAAATGAATGTCAGGAATGTTTTTTCTAGATCTTTGAGGTATGTTTGTTATTTTGATTGGATTACGTTAAATCTGTATAACTGTTTTGAGAGTATGGCAACTTTCATAATGTTGGTTGGTCCTACCCAAGAGAAGGGCATATCCTACCATTTTTTTAATATCTTCAATCTCCTTTTTTAGCATAGCATAATTTTCAGCATATAGGTCTTTTACATTATTAGTTAAGTTGATTCCTAAGTATTTCATTTTTTAGATGCTATTGTGAAGGGTGATAGTTTCATAATTTCTCTCTTGGT